CTCTCACCCACAAATGCCGAATATACTATCCAGTAAATCCTATTTGCGCATTGATTCATTTCAGGCAAAAATGCTGAATCTGTCATCTGACCAGGAGGATGGACCAGAAAGGGCTAACCACCCACAGATGACCATTATTCGCTTGAAATTTTGTCTGAATGGAGCCAAGGGGGGGAGTTTGGGCGGTTAGTGTAGCGCCACTGTCAGATTCAAGCGGCGCCGCGACAAAATGGAATCAGACGTTATCGCAAAAAATAAAAATAAAAAAAAACAAACAAAACGAGGACAGCACTCAATCGGGAGCAGAGCTCTGCCGTTTCCTCGGTCATCAGCATGACAAGAACGAGGCACAACGTGGCAACAAATGTCATTTAGTATGAACGCAAAAAAATTGCTCTGCACTCTGGTACGACATCAAATGTTAAAAAGAAGAGCAAATTCACATCCTTCTCCACATTTGCTCTACTCTATAAAACCTTACCACCACATATCATTAAAAACTCATGACCAATAATCCATCTAACTACTACACCGAGCCAAGAGTCTGGTCATAAAGTCAATTGCATCCACAGTTGTCACTCCCATTATGCAAAAATGCATGCATGCTCCATATTCCGGCATCACATCGAGGGGCCTATTTTGACAAATTATTTTGCAAGGAGTGATTACGTACGGGGATGCAAATGATGCCGATGCCAAGTCTCTATCGCAAATAATAATAAAAATAAAATCATCTCCTTGCTAATTGCACATAAATCTGCATGCATCTCAAGCATGAAAGAAACGAGTGTCCAATCGGAAGCGGGAGGCAAAACGAACGCGTGTTGCAGACTTGGCGCAGTGGGACATCACGAGCGCATGCATCATTTCCTGAGGATCCCTTGGAAGCGGGAAGCAATTTGTTTCCTATGGAAGCACACGCAAGCCTTGAAGAACAACCGAGGGAGGCGGATGCATGACTTCATGGAATCGTGTTGACGAAAATCCCCTTGGCTGTTAACTGCGTGATCTCCTCGTGTTACATGCAAGCCATAATTGAAACAACCATATTTAGCATGTCCGGCCGCTATTTGACGCAGTTCTCGCCGTGCCTGCTGTACACAGACTTGCATTGGTATCTACACCTGTAAATAGGGTGACTGTTGGACTCATGTAACCACAATGTTTGGGATGTTAATTTTTTATTTTTTTTTTGCCTTCAGTATCGGTGGCTGGGTATCAGCAGCCTACACGATACCTTAAAATAATGCCGCTAACGACGAGATACCGTTACGGTATTGGTACTCGAGCATCCCTAATTAGAACCTAACCACCAACTACCGCCGATCACAATAACGAATCCATTGCTCAAATAATTCCACTCAAAAATGAGCATGATTATTTTCGTAAAGGCGGTGCCTCTTTACAGACGCCCTTCCCGAACACACAGGCTCACATTTCCGTTTTCCACACTAATTTAAGCAAGCGTGTTAGGCTTCAGCACGATCCATTTACTAGCGTTCTAGTTTAACAGCGTCCCACAGGAAAAAAGCCCCATCATGTCATATTTATTATTCAAATAACCGATCTCAATTAATGAGCCACTCATTATAACGAGCTATTACACCAGAATTTTCTATTGTGCGGATGACACCGGAGAACACCGAGCCCGATGGGTAATTATAGCTCAATGAAACAGACATAAGTGCAATGATGCCGAGGAAGAAAATGGTCGGGCTTTAATCCTTGGCGAGGTACACATCTGGGAATCCCCCCGCACCCCCCTCCCCAACTCTCCTTCAATTAAATCCAAGTACGTTCTGAGCTCAGTGAAGGGGGATTTAGAAGGATCCAAAACACCAAAAAGAATACGAATCTTATTAGCTAAAGGCAACAATTATAGGCAGGCGAGAAAATAATGATCAGAATAGGTCCATCCATACATCCATCCGCATCTTGTGGGTCTTTAATGGTGTTTAATTCACATTTGATTGGATTCTCCCTCAGGATACGCTTAAAAAAAACAAAAAACAAAAAAAACAAATAAAGCAGACTAATCAGTATCTTCGGTCCAAACAGAGTTTCGACGCAGCAAGTGCAGCTTTGTTCATGGCTGCAGGGGCAAAGAAGGACTTCTTATTATGCGCCCTTCCCTGAAACAACACTCGGCCTCACCCGAGGCGCGGAGTGTCACTGAGATTATACACCTCTCTACATTAATGCCAGCAAGTCGTGGGAAGGGGGGGGGGGGAGAACAAAATATACCACGCGTGCCTTTTAATGCTCGCACCGCAGCCATTAACAACTCCCCATCCCCCAGTCAATCAAACCTCGAAAAATCACAAGGTGACCCGGACAGCGGTTGCCCTGGCAACCAGTGCTATACAACTATTACCTGCCTCCCGGAGCCCGGCGAGGTTTGGGGGGGGGGAGAACAAAATATACCACGCGTGCCTTTTAATGCTCGCACCGCAGCCATTAACAACTCCCCATCCCCCAGTCAATCAAACCTCGAAAAATCACAAGGTGACCCGGACAGCGGTTGCCCTGGCAACCAGTGCTATACAACTATTACCTGCCTCCCGGAGCCCGGCGAGGTTTCCACCCCCACCAGGCAGAGAATAAGAACAAGGCACGAGGGAAAGGGAATAAAAGGCAAGGGGGGGGGGGGCAGGAGGGATAAAGGGTGAAAGGTTAGGCTACGACTGCCGCAGCCTCCCCCTGGCTTTTAATTGAATGATCCCCTTCCAAGCGGGCTTCGACGCCGAGAGCGCCGCAGGATGCATGTCATAAATAATAATACAAATCTTCTTAAGCACAAATGAGAAACTCCAAAATTAAAAACATGATTATCACGTGTTGCCCCCGCCGCCGCCGCGTCCCAACCTCAGCCAGCCTCTGCATTTATTATAACCATTAAAAGTAGCTCTTTATATTCAGGCTCTTATCTTTGTAGTCACTCATTATAAAGGGTGGGAACACTCTAAAGAATAAAATACATGAGCGCCAGGATTTATAAATAGTCCACACTAATGAAATAGTCTACCCTGAGCCTCTGGACTTATGATTATTTAAAAGAGCCCCCACTGAGCCCACTGTCTTCAGAGATATGCCAATGCGTGGCATGGAACTTGAGAAACGATTCAAGCAAATGGTAATTTATCAGTTCAACATCTTCCATTTACGATATCGCCATTTATTTCATGGCAAATTATGAAATATTCATGGGAGTTTTCCCCTATATGCACACGCATCCTGCTGCTTGTCTTTGCCTATAGGAACAGGAACAGGAACGTGCAATCGATTAAGAATGTAAAAAGCGTGAATGTGAGTTGATGAAGGAAAAAAAAAACTACGTACACACACAAAAGCTTTATATTATTTCATTATTCAGTGGTTAAACATAACGCTTCTTCTTCCACTTGAATCATACTTAAAGATGCCGAAACACTACTTCAAAATTGCCTTCGCAATTAAAGCAGGTTATGTGAAAGGATAAGATTGGTTCAGCTCCCGTCGCTCTTTGAGGCCAGAAAATGTGAAATCAGAGCTTTGACCTTTCGTTCCTCTCGGTTCCGTCTTCAATGTAATAACCAGTATCTGTGATACCGGATCTTAAAAATGCCAAGATGAAGGCCAGACCTGCTGAAAGATGCGTGCGCTTTGAAGGCCGGCGGAGAAAATCGATTGTTTCCAACAACAAAAACACCAAAAGAGCGACCTTGATTGTTCCCAACGAACTCCGAAATCCTCTTTTTCACTTTCAAACCACCTTATCCCACGCACTCTTGGAGAGCTTCCCAAAAAAACAAGGCCGTAATTTACATCCAATAGCCCACTCACCGCTAAAGCCCCATATCCTTTCCCAGCCAACTTCTCTTCTCGGTCTCTGCACGAACATTGACAGATTGTCATATTTTGGCCACGCTCCCGGAGGAGAGATGAGAGAAGCAGGAGGGCAGATAAATGCCTATTACCATTCACACCAGCTCATTACTGCGCATTTAAAACCCATGAGCACCAGCACAAAGCTCCCTGCGGAGAACCGTCATGCTATTATCAGGCAGCGTAAACACCATAAAGCTCGTGTCGTAACATCAAACTTGATGGAATATGTGGCAAAAAATATTTGGAGGCCACAGAGGTTATTTAGGGTAGAATGCAATCTGCTCTATGCTTGCTTGGATCGGTGCTCGGTTGAGAGCCAATCCAAAATCGTGATGTCACCTCTACTTTTTTTTTCTTTTTGAAGCGGTATAGAAAACTGGAAGACAAAATTCCAAATTGTACCACCTCGGGCGGCGTTCAACTTCAGCCGCTGCACAAAATAAGAAAGTTTGTGGCCTACCGTCATGAATCCATCCAGGAGGCCCGAGTCGGGTTTGGGCGGAGCTTGTAGCCGCTCCATGGACCACTTTTCGATAATGGACGACACCTGTGAGTTTTCTGTGTTGAGGATGCGAAAACCGGTCATGTTCACTCCGCTGAAACGGTACGGCTCCATGTCCAGGGCAAAAAGGTCCTGCAAGCAAGCGCAAAACTTTCATGGTGAATTGCTGCAAATGTGAGCACTTCTGCAATAATGGCAAAAGTAAAGAACCTGAAACCACTATTGAAGGTTTTTCCATTATGTTACCTCTCGCTGAGGCGGTGTTTATTTATTTATCCCCCCGCCGTCCCCCCAGTCATTCAAGGTTACAGGTAGGCGTTTGGTGCCTTGCCATTTATCACACACGCATAGAAGGACGACCCAATTGTCCTGCATTCTGGCACTCCGAGCCGTCACAGCACTGTTGACAGAGCGGCCCGGAAATGGAGCGCCAGTGTCACAGCTAGCTGCCTGAACCTGAAAGCGGCATGGCAACAGCGCTTTGGCTGCCTCCCAACATACAGCGGCATTGGCCTTCAATCTGACAGTGGCTGATGAGAAAGTCGCCCGACAAGCAGCATGCGGTCCAAGTCGACGTACTATACGCGTCACTTACAATATGTTGACAACAGTATCGGGACTCTTGACTTTTACGCCCGAATGTCAATCCAGATGTGTATTTATGAAGTCCACCCCTGACGAATTGTTTCACATTAAGGTCATCCGGGCATGCACTAATGCAGTGGTTGACAAAAAACAAAACAATATGCAATCAATTATCATCTCGGTATCTCACAAAACAAACAGTCAAATAATTATTTCTGCCCTGTACGAGGTCCGTGGGAGCAAAAACTTTTGAGCAGCTCGGCTTAAATAATTCTTGCTTTGTAGACTGCAGTGGAGACTCGGCTCAGTACATTTACACGACATACACATGAGTAGAGCTACTGAAATATTTTGATAGCTCCCGTTAATCAGACATTTCTCCTTGTCCTTCCTCATTTCACATGGAGAGTAATGAAGCTTTTTTTTCCCCCCAAAATTTGCCTAAGCCTGTGCAGCACTTACTGATCGTGTGCCAGTTTGTTTGGCTGTGGGGATTTTCTGGCCAGGTCACATCAGAAACAAGGATGTGGTGGAAGCAAGTCTTGTTGTCTCCATGTGCAAAGTACGGCTGGATTGGAATAATCTCAGTTGCTATGCATGAACCACATCTGTTGTCAACGGCTTCTTTGTCTTCGGGGATAAAGCCACCAGTGGAGATTGAGGCATGGGCAGAAAGCCAAGATTTCTCTGATTCGATTCGTGCAATATAGGTTTGGTTTTCAAAGGCAATTCCAATTAGTTTATCAAATGTGGGGTATGCGCCACTGGCATGACCAAAATGTGCTTAAATTTTTTGGGTGTGTGTGTGTGTGTGTGTGTGTGTGTGCTAAAGGAAGGTCGTCGGCTATAGAATACAGTCTCAAGTACTGCTAGTAGATCCCAGAGTTCAAAGCAAACATGGTGAAGCAGCATTTCGCTGTTGTGCTGCACGCAAACGGAATAAGCTGCCAACAGAAGGGATGATTTTACCTCTGTTTTAAAATGTTTTAAACATTGTACTTTTAATTATGTAAAGTACATTCTGTTACCTTGTATATGAAATGTGCGATATAAATAAAGCTGCCTTGTTTTTGCCTTTCTGTAAGAAAAACAAATCCCTTCCGGTCTCTTGTGATGGAACAGTTTATTTTCATTTAAAGACTAGAAAGGATTAAAGGGGCTTGAAAATGTTCCTAAAACGGAAACCGATGCACGCATAAAGTAGCATTCTCGCGTGTCATGTGAATATATTCTCATCATAGATTTGCCCAAAATGTCTTGGTAAAACCAGACTTAGGTATGAGGGGGAATGAATGCTAATGCTGTAATCACTAATCAGCTCCTCATGAAGATGGCCGTGCGCTGTCACATGTCATTTGCAGGTCAGTCTTGCTCAACCTTTGTCTTTTAGCGCTCAGGTAACAGAGTGTCACATGTTTATTAGGGCCATTATGGACCTAATAGCTGACAGTACCATCTTGTCAGGGCTATTAGCCCAGCTCCAAGACCTCTTCTCCTCACTCGGGTTCAGCCGAGATGTGCCTTGTTTCATCCGCGGCTCTCTTTGTGGACGCTTGATCAAACGGCAACGCTGTCAGAAGCACACTCAAATATTTCCAAACTGCTTTTGTTTCTGCCTCTGGAGATTGCGGATGGCGAATTTGGGTGCAAAAGGTTGGCCGGGGGGAGGGATTGAGAAAAATCGATTGAAGTCGAATGCGCTGAAAATTCAAAAGGGTGTATTTATAGTTAGCTGCCTGCGTTGGGGAAAGTTCAACCTTGTCAATCACAACAAAGTCAGCTGATGGTTTAAATAATGGGGAGTTGTTTTTGAACGGGCGCTCGGATGAGTTATTCTCGGCGACCAAAGACACAGCAGGTAAACAGATGGAAATTGGACAAGCAATTCTACTAATGGAGCAGTGCGAAAATAACAACAACATCATTTAACCACAGCTATATCTATTTACAAATATTTTTTTAAAAAAGGGGGGCAGTTGACTCACCAGAGTGGTAAAAATGTAGTGATAGTACTCTGTCATCATCCCCATGGCAAGAGCCTAAAGGTCAAAGAGATCATTCAAAAATGAACACGTTACGACAATACATCCACATTTCATTTCATCCGCCACTCCGAAAAACAACGATGACGCATCTCCCGACTTATAAAACGCAACTGAGAGGTGGCTTTGGACTTAACAATACCTTTGCGTCTCGGTTACTTTTTGTTACGAACATATGACATTCAGAGTGACGGACGGAATGGAAAAAAAAAAAGATTAAAATGAGAGAACGTAAATGATCTTGAATATTATAATTTTGTTTACTTCAGCCGCGGCACTTTTCTCATTGCCAATTTTTCAACCTGACATTTTCTGTGAGCTCAAACATGCCTGACTTTTTGGTGTATTTCATCCATCAAATTCTTAGGAGAAGGGTGCAGTCCACATTGCATTTCAGTTCCTCAACGGAAAACAATCTGACGTACCCTACAGGACAAATTATTGGGACTGCTAAATTTTCAATATCCCCCAAAAAAAGGTGTAGCGATGCTTCTTTACAGACTTTAATGTAATGTCATATTGGTGGACCTGCCACGACTCATTCATGTCATTCCTTTCTGTATTTCATGACCTGTTAAAAAAAATCAACAAAGTCTGCTAATGCGTCATTAACTGGCTTCAGCCTCTGTCAACTTGTCCACCGAAAAATTATTTCCCCTGATAATTGTCGTTTACCGGGGAATATTATAATACACAACTGTTGGGGGAGCCCCGGAGCAAAAAGAGCTCCTAAGTGCTGCTTTAATTCTTCGATAAATAATCATTCTTGTTGTTTCCCGCCGAGACGCAGCTGTAAAGGCAATTCAGCCGACAATATGCTGCCGGTACGACGTCCATTCGTTTAGAAGCCCCGCAGTTCTCATAAAGAATATGGCCCTATTCAACAAAATTTAGCATGCATGTGAGTGAGATTAGATATTCTAATTAAAACCCTCCATTGTGCCATGAAGACGGGTGGGTTCGTCGCCTAAGATCTCATATTTTATAAAGCGATTACGGATGCGCAGGCCCGAGACACGATCCGGGATCATTTGCATCCGTTTTTTTTTTGTTTTTTTTTTTAAAGAGTCTGAAGTGAAACTTTCAGGCAGATTTAGGAGACGTTTGCATGACAATGACTTCATTAAAAATGTGAAACTTTTGCCTTTGAGTTCCCCTCGTGATCGACAACTAGATATGTTGCGCACAAAAAATATATATATTAGTGCTGTCAAACGATTTAAATATTTAATCACACTGAAATGTATGAATGTCATAGTTAACTCATAATTAATCGCAATTAATCACACATTTTGATTTATTTTTGTCATATTTTTTTCCCATTTTAATGCTCTCATCAACATGGGAATCGTGGATCAGTTTTCTTTGTGCAAAATGCAAATATTTACTGAAACAATTTCGATTTTCAATTTTACATTAACATTTTTCATGTGGAGCACATTTTATTTTAGAGCAACCTAACATCCGCTGTGAAGTGATGCCGCATTAATCTCGCGATAAAAAAATTTAATCCCGTTAAAATTTATTTCAATTAATGCCGATAATAACGCGTTAAACTGACAGCACTAAAATATATATATAAACATTCACACTCTTATTGCCAGCTCGGGAAAGATGTTTCTACAAAAGAAAACAGATGATGACAACTGTCCCCTTCCATTTGTAGACATTATGTAAAAGGGTACATTTAATGAAAAAATGGCCGCTTCTTCCCTATGGCTGGTGAATCTTAATGCGGCACTCAAACCTGTTTTAATATCCAGGCTGCCATCTCGTGTCCGCAATCGAAGATGACGTGGAATTCTTTCGCTTTCTTCATCTCTTTGAGAAGCGGCTTGGCGTCCTTGGTCTCCGTGGGCAGCTGTCGGATCTTCAAACGAATGTTGTATCGTGACGGCGCCTTGATCAGCTCCTGCAGTCGAATGAGTCCTGCAGACAAAAGGAGACGCAAACGCTGCCGGAGCGTTTAAAAGAACGGCATTGTGCGCGCATTGTTTGATGTGCCGCCATTTTGAAGTGTTGGTGAAGATGCCATAAAACCGAGAGGTTCTTCTAGGCTCATCTGCTTATGATTCCCTAATTCCCCCCACCCCCACCTCATTGATCCTCCTACTCATATTTCGAGAGCAAATATACCAATATGGACCTATCGAGGCGAATTTCACACAGAGTCGGAATGTTGCGCTACAGTAGGAACAAAGCCAGAGAATCGTACGTCGGGTTCTGTTTGTCGAGCTCGCACCTTTTGTCATCCTCACCTTTTTCCAGTCTGGACCACACGCTTGGGTCAAAAGCTCTCCCTGTGATGAGATCACAATGAGTCACCCCCCCCCCAGCCCCCCCGGCGTGAAAAACTCCAGAGTTCAGTGATGAAAGCGGCCGGATTGATGGGAGAGATGATTACTTGTCATGGTTATAAAAATGGATGGAGGGCCGAGGGTATTTTGAGAAGTGAGAGAAGAGAGAGATAGGATTTTTTTTCTTCTTCTTTTTTTTTTATGGAACCACTTTAAGATAGCTGAGCCTATTTCTTATGTTGAAATGAACTACTGTGTGAGCACTATAATGGGGTCCCCGGGAGCGAGACTGGATCTCTGGATGGGGTGTCAAATAGGAACACGGATGTCTTGTTGTGTGAAAAATAAAACCATTGTGAGGAAGGATGGTGAAACTCCCAAAAGCTCTCCTTGGGGGATTTCTAATAGATGCCCACATGTTACAGAAAGTCTCCTTATTGCAGAAAAGAGGAGGAAATGGGATATTTTATTTTCTTGACTTCTACATTACTGGCAGAGAGTCCTCTTGTTGACAGTCAAGTGCCTCGGAAATGGTGGGAGGTCAACTTAAGATTCAATTATTATGTATGACGTTGCGCAAGATTTCGGGATGAATTTTGCTTAGCTTTCGGCTTTTTGTGATCTCACTTCAGAAGTTTACAATCCCCTCCAGAAGCAGTGGAACGGCAAGGCTAATTCTTTTGGGATTTTTTTTTTCTTTTGTTTGAAGCTGGACTTCTCAACCTTTGTCTCAAATTCAGCTTTTGATCTGAAACCCAAACGTGAAACCCAAAAGGAATGGAAATTGCCGTAAACACACCAATCTCCACACGGAAAGGCAAGGAAATGACAACGCCCAAACCTCTGAACGTTGAGGCAGTCACATTCAGCGCTCGTGAAAATATAATTCACCGCATTTTCTATGGGAGAAACAGATTTGAAATAAGAAACCATTTGGAAGTCGAGCGGCGTTAGAAAACAGATTGCGTGCAACTTTGGATGTTGCACTGGACGTCTCATGGGATACATCTCAAAAAGGAGCGTCAACACCCGAGATGCAGACCAATTGTCATTTATTGGAAGGTTGAGGAGCTATACAGACACACGTCTGCTGAAGTGTTCATACTGTCATTTTGGGAGGTGTTAATCTTAAAAAAAAAAAAAAGTCTGTCAAGGGAGGGGAACGTTTGCGAAACACTGTCAGTGTAGATATTTGTGGGTTCTAGCTAATGCCTTCAGACATTCCCCCTGGATCTTCTAACGGCTGTGTGTGAATATTTTATCCCCTCCGATAGTCTTTCCCGCCAGCCGTCAGATAGGCTCCAAATCAGTAGCTAAGGGCCCTGGAGCATGAAGCTGTGTGATTTGTGAGCCTGGGGCCAGGTGAAGGTGGTGGTGGTGGTGGTGGCACCAATGGGTGGGAGGGGTTTCGAGGCAACACAGCTGTCACACTTTTCAGGCCGTCAGGTGTGTTCTACGCAGGCACTCTCCTGCCTAAATCCCCCTTTGGAGCCAGTCTCGGAGTGGGGGATTGTGGGGAGTGAAATGTCGCCTTTCAGCATCACACCGTGGCGATTTGCTGGACAACACGCTGAGCTCCCAGGCAGGGCATGCGGGGAGGAGGTCAAGGGGACTACATAGATGAATGTGGCCATTGGGAGGGGCGATAATCTAAGGTTAACGCGCAAAGGGCTAGCATGCTGCGATGTGACGTACAATCACCGGGAGTTATCCGATGTAATCCGATAATAAGCACTGTGGCAAATATGTAGCCTGATACGAAGGGAGATAGAATGGCACTCATACCGACCAAAGTTGACCGAAATGATGTTTGTATTTTTATTTTTTTTGTTCCTTTATAAATTAGCATGGGGTGGCCTTGCTCATGGAAGATGACGCGAGCTGACGGAACTGGAGCATTTTTCCCCATCTGGTGTCGGGGAATGCTCCCATCAAGACGAATTTTTTTTTTTTTTTTGCAAACAGTGAATGGCCACAGCAACAACGTGCAACGAAATAAAAGACTTTCAATAATTTTTCATCTTAAACATCTTTGGATGAAACATCCAAAGTTTGACGAGGATTCGATAAATTTGAACTCTACAAAAGGGCAAAAATCTAACTGGCAGACTTCCTTTTAGGTTTAGCATATGGCCCCAAGAGACATTTTTTTTATAAGTCCTAGGCTGTTGCATAAGCCTAATAATTTTCACACATCTCAGTGAAAGCTATAACCGAGAATGTGTCGTTAAAGATTTGGAGATGGGAGGGGTGGGCTACTGAGTCATTTATTGAAAATTGCACAGAAAATCTGTAAAATATATTTTTTTATGGCAGGCCTGATGTGTGTGAAAAGTTTAATGAGGTTTTTTTCATGTTTCGACCCTCAAAATCAGCACTGTTTTCTTCCCCAAAAGCGTTTCCCAAACTTTGTGTTTTACCATCATGAAGGCCAAAACACTCTTCGGAGGCAAATATGAGGTACAGGAGATCGAGTTAACCCGCTTGGAGGAAGCTCACTTCCTGTGCATTTTAAGGCATGGCGACAAAGATATTTTACGTTTCGGGGTGCTACACCTGCCTCCCGATTTTCAGTTTCTTCCTGTTTCAATGTGAGGGAATCGAGAAGCGGAGCAGGCTGGGAGGGAACGTTTCATTCTAAAAGAAGCAACAAGAGGAAATGGGCTCTTGCAAGGTACCCCGTCATTTTGGAAATAGCTTTTTCTAGGTGTTCGGGGCAATACCGAAGAGAAAAATTTGATCAAAACAAGATGTCGTCACCTTGTTGGAGGTATCTAGAGCTGAAGGCTCGCAAACAGACCAGCGCTGAGGCTGAATGACATCATATTGCATCGAATGACATGTATGCTAATACTGTACCAATCCAACCTTGTCGGTGGCAACTAACTAAATGAAATGTAATGCACTCCCGAGCACCAGAAATGTTGATTTTTTTTTTTCCCCCCCATTGTGTCACTCGTCAATATTTCAAAGCTCCTCATAACGCGCGCTATTTTCCTTGCATTAAGCTGCCATCTCCCCCCAAAAGCTCGTAAATTGTGTACCATTTGAATGTCGTTACCTTCGGCGGGGCAATTACCTTTTCGCTCGTAAAGATATCAAAGCCGCTAAAATACAACTGGTCTCTTAAAAGGCACATTATGAGGCCCTTCACAAAGCGTACGGAGAGACAAAATGGCTCATAGCGCCCCCCCCCCCTTGGAGATCAAGTGTCTGTGTGTTATTAATGGCGGCTGTCAGAGCACACACAGCACAGTGCGGCATTGCATTAATCTGAAGAGACGCTGGGTCATTCTGGGTAATGTGGTCCTCCCTCTGTTCTTTTTTTTTTTTTTTTTTTAAAGCCTCGTACTGCTGACGTCTTTGTAGGAAGACTGGCAAGAGCAGCACCTGGAGGACCCGAGCGAGAACAGTAAGCTATTGATTTTGGAATTAGCTTGACAGGTTGCAAAGCACTCGCCCAACTCTTTGAGTGTCTCTTTTGTAGTTTCCATCTGGTGCCTCTTGCCACTAAAGGCAAAAAAAGATTAGCGCTTCTCACCATCGTCAACAACAACCTCCTGCGACTTTGCGGAAATGGCTTATGGGCTTAAGAAGGAAATAGAGCGGCAGCTGTTACCTGTACCTGTGCTGTCGTCGTAGACTACGGTGACGGTTCTCCACTTGAAGAAGTGCACCAGGTCCAGAATGGCTCGGCTGAGGGACGAGAAGTCCGGGTACAGGCTGACATAGTAGGAATCCCTGTTGTCCGACACCTGATGCTTCCACTTGGTTTGGACGTGGGGCACTCCCAGAGCATTGCAGATGGACTGGACCGCGTTGGCCGACGAGCTGTGCGACGGCCCAAATATGGCGGCCACTCCCAGGGACAGCTGGTCACATGCTGGGTGAGGATGCGGCAAGAGGCATAAAAGTGGCAATTTCGACACTAGCACATTCTAATGAGATCCACTAAAAAGACAGTCGCTGCCAGAGAGTCCACCTGCCTACCAAGGTTATTTTAGTTCACAAAAACTAACCAAATAAGTAACATTGAAAAAAACTTCTTTTTTTTTTTTTGTTAACGACATAAAGACTAACTAGAGTGGAAAATTTCCAAACTTCTTTAACCCTGCTGGCTGCTCACCTTTGCGGGAGGCCTCGAAGCTGTCAAAGATGTTTATTCTCTGGATGTCGTAGGTCAGCGTGGTGTTGGGGAGCAACGTGCGGTTCCTGTTGATTGTGTTCAAGGCAAATTTGAAGGCGAGTTCCTCCGCTCCTGAGGGGCCGCTTTCGATGGATTCAAATATTCCCCCTGCAGGCAGAAAAACACAAAAAAACCCCCCAGACTTAAACAATTTCAGTCCACTCAAACTCTTTTAATCTTAATCTAGATCAAGAATTTCTTGTTCGATTTACAATGTTGCCAAGATGTTCCCTGGATCCAGATTACATTTGACACGACTGTCACCTTTACCTTCCAGGCTTTCTCCAGCTCCTCTCTGAGCCCTTGGTATTTCTCGTGTTCCTTCTTTCTGATGTTTCCATCACTTGGGACCGCTACATCGGCTTTATATATCGATCCATTACATAAAAAAAACAAAAAACGCAAGTATACAATGCATAGCAAATGCTGGATGTATTGTCGTGTAGGTGTGCCTTCAAGAGGCGGGGCCTGGTGGTCCAGTATGCGCTCACTGTTTATATGGTTGACCTTTCTCCCGACATTCAATAATCGCCGCGTTCATTGGTGATTGCACATGTAATTGATTCCAGGCGTTATTATTACTACGGGTCAAGTGAATTTTAACGCGTGTATGAGAGTAAAGAATGCTAACATTTGACTTCAAACATTGAAACACGATGACTCAAGTTTTTTTTTTTTGTTGTTGTTTTTGATGAAGACGCCATGACCCTGGAGCAGAGGAACTCAATTTCCATTATTTCCTAACGCGAACAAATTGGGATGGATACCGCAAATGGTGCGTGAAGGTGCCGAGTGGTACATTGACAGGCAACATAAGCGCATTTGGTTACCAGCACTCTTCAGTATAATTAATGACGTGCGGATGAAAGGTTGAGTTCAGTGGTGGGCGACCTTCCTTAACCGCCTCACTCAACCTTGACAGGAAAGGCTGACTTTCCCATTTCCCTCTATTGATTTCAATCAATCATCAAACCAGAAGTTAGGGGGGGGGGGTATGGGGGGAAGGAAAAAAAACAAAAACACAAGAGCACAGACAGCGAAGAGGTATGCTTAGCACGTGATTTGAATATGAACATCTTTCTCAAATGTCACACCACACGCCCGTGTTCATTTTTTCCTTAATGTCTGCACGGAGACGATCTTAATGAGCAGGAATCGACAAAGTAAGAGCGCGGCGACAATAAACTGCAACCAACACACACTGTTTGAGACTAAATTATCACCGCTGAGGTATAGTTAATTTTAAAACAGCTCCCCTTGGAAATGTGGAGGTTTTTTTTGGGGAGCTGAACAAAAGCCATTAAAGCTACAAACAATCCCCTCAGTATCGTTTGCAACATTAAATAAAGGAAAAGAAAAGGTTGAATTGATTTTCCTCAACGATTTTCTTTTTCTTTTTATAACGAGCAGAAAATATCAATAAAATAGGAGTATATGAAATGATTTGTTTATTTTTAATTAAGATAACTAGGATCCTCGGCCATCCTCCGGTTAATATTAATTGTGTACCACAAAAAAAAAAAAAAAAGAAAAATGAGTCAGGACCCAATAAAAATACTATCCAAATACTTTTGACAGGTGCAGCTGTTGGAATGTTTTGACAAACTATTTCTTGCTGTTGGTCAATTGATAACGAAAACTCCAATTCACCATGTCAAGAGGTTTTAATACTGCATTATGTAATATTTTATGTAGAAATGAGGTAGGACTTGGCTTTTGGGGCGATATTCTCTTATGCGTTAAAAAAAATCTATCCAGTTGTTTACATTTTTAGATTTGTGTGATATAATCAATAATTATAATAATAATAATAATAAGGGAAAAAAGTCAATTTCCCCCAATTTTTTTCTTTTTTTAAAGAATCCAAGCATTCAAACCCACATATGTCTTTATGTATTTAAAAAATGTTTTAAAGTAAATAACGGACAGAAAATGGCTGGCACTAAGTTCGAGTGCAAAAACGACAATGACGAGATCGAGAGGTCTCGAAAACAACACTTGAGCAAGAGCAGCAACAAGGTCAATAATCCGGCAGAGACTGCCAAAGCAGACTTGGTTCACTTGGATGACCAAATGGGCAGCAGGTGTGCACGCTGGAAGGAAAGCCCTCCACCGCCACCTCGCTGGATGCAGACACACAAGAACCTGATCGTGACACTTATTTGCATGAACGCAAGTAAAGAGGTTTGCGTTGGGTGTACAGCGAGCTATTTCCTTACATTACCTGTACATTTTCACTTTCCCCTTGAGGCCAACTAGAGAGCTGAACGCGGTTCAACTAAGTGGAAATCGATGAAACGTGGCGGCGTACGAATTTGAACTCATCAAGTCACTTAAGTACAGGCTTTTTGTTATGCTGTCATTGAGTCAGCTACTGCAATAGATTTTTTTTCTTTTATCCATCTCATCTCACATTCATTTAAAGGAAAGAAAAAAAAAAAGTAGAAAAAGGGCTGAAAGTTGCAATGCACCATGATTGGAATCACATCAGCCGCAGCTAATAGACAATGATTACGCTCTGGCCTCACGGCCTCTTGCGAGCAGGCAGAGCTCACTCGGTGTATTCAAGCAGACTTCAAATGAGCAGCAGGGGTGACACTTTTTACCTTCTTTGCCGTATTCTGCATGGCCTGGACATGAAAGTAGGATTGAAAAGGGACGGAAAACGAACAGCAAATCTTTTTTTCTATGGGTTAAGTTGGGCAATTTTCAAACTTTAAAAAAAAAAAAAAAATACAAATCCAACTCGACAGTGTGTCACTTATTCTGTTCAAGCGTGGTGGGGAGTTCGAGTCTATTTCAAGTGACTTCAGGCAAAAGGTGGAATATACTCTGTCGGGACTGGTCGCCAGTTGAAGTGCTTTTATTTTGAAAATATGTATTCGTTCGGCCGTAGTTGTAACTGAGGAAGTCCTTCACACTTCAGAGAGAATTCCTCAGGTAATTTTTCTCGGTTAAGTCACTCATTTGTGTGGATACACGCTGCTAGGCAAAATTTGTGAAGCACAACTAATTTGTTATTGAAAACTATGCTGCACTGTCAACTAAAACAGGAGAGAAAGGACAGGGAGACTTGGCAGCAACGCAGTCGTACAAACATGACTCCACATCTATCAAGCTTCTCATTAGCTACGTCAATTTTGTTTGCAAGATTGAACCACGACTATTTAAGAAAAAGACACTCCTGAGCGTGCAACAGCCTAATGCTGAATCATTTTAAGATTACACCAGCATGGGGAAAACTCATTTAGGCATGTCCTGAGAGTCGAAAATTAAATTACTCGGCGAAATGATCAGATAATAACTCGCTAATTCAATTCGGAAACGACTCCTACATGTTGCGTGGCACCTTTCAAAGAAACAGATGCGGAATTGTTTTCAACAACACTTGAGCAAGAGCAGCAACAAGGTCAATAATCCGGCAGAGACTGCCAAAGCAGACTTGGTTCACTTGGATGACCAAATGGGCAGCAGGTGTGCACGCTGGAAGGAAAGCCCTCCACCGCCACCTCGCTGGATGCAGACACACAAGAACCTGATCGTGACACTTATTTGCATGAACGCAAGTAAAGAGGTTTGCGTTGGGTGTACAGCGAGCTATTTCCTTACATTACCTGTACATTTTCACTTTCCCCTTGAGGCCAACTAGAGAGCTGAACGCGGTTCAACTAAGTGGAAATCGATGAAACGTGGCGGCGTACGAATTTGAACTCATCAAGTCACTTAAGTACAGGCTTTTTGTTATGCTGTCATTGAGTCAGCTACTGCAATAGATTTTTTTTCTTTTATCCATCTCATCTCACATTCATTTAAAGGAAAGAAAAAAAAAAAGTAGAAAAAGGGCTGAAAGTTGCAATGCACCATGATTGGAATCACATCAGCCGCAGCTAATAGACAATGATTACGCTCTGGCCTCACGGCCTCTTGCGAGCAGGCAGAGCTCACTCGGTGTATTCAAGCAGACTTCAAATGAGCAGCAGGGGTGACACTTTTTACCTTCTTTGCCGTATTCTGCATGGCCTGGACATGAAAGTAGGATTGAAAAGGGACGGAAAACGAACAGCAAATCTTTTTTTCTATGGGTTAAGTTGGGCAATTTTCAAACTTTAAAAAAAAAAAAAAAAATACAAATCCAACTCGACAGTGTGTCACTTATTCTGTTCAAGCGTGGTGGGGAGTTCGAGTCTATTTCAAGTGACTTCAGGCAAAAGGTGGAATATACTCTGTCGGGACTGGTCGCCAGTTGAAGTGCTTTTATTTTGAAAATATGTATTCGTTCGGCCGTAGTTGTAACTGAGGAAGTCCTTCACACTTCAGAGAGAATTCCTCAGGTAATTTTTCTCGGTTAAGTCACTCATTTGTGTGGATACACGCTGCTAGGCAAAATTTGTGAAGCACAACTAATTTGTTATTGAAAACTATGCTGCACTGTCAACTAAAACAGGAGAGAAAGGACAGGGAGACTTGGCAGCAACGCAGTCGTACAAACATGACTCCACATCTATCAAGCTTCTCATTAGCTACGTCAATTTTGTTTGCAAGATTGAACCACGACTATTTAAGAAAAAGACACTCCTGAGCGTGCAACAGCCTAATGCTGAATCATTTTAAGATTACACCAGCATGGGGAAAACTCATTTAGGCATGTCCTGAGAGTCGAAAATTAAATTACTCGGCGAAATGATCAGATAATAACTCGCTAATTCAATTCGGAAACGACTCCTACATGTTGCGTGGCACCTTTCAAAGAAACAGATGCGGAATTGTTTTCACGTGCTTAATTTATGCAGCGGAGCTGGGTTGTTTTTTTTTTTCTTTCTTTCTCGCAAGAGCACTTTCATAATTGAAGCAAAATAGCCTCTGTCCCGTCCTGTCCTTTCACAACATGTTGTTTTGGTCCAAATGACTGCAGGTGCAGGTGTGTGAATCATAGCGGCGAGTGTGTGTGTGTGTGTGTGTGTGTGTGTGTGTGTGTGTGTGTGTGTGTGTGTGTGTGTGTGTGTGT